GGGATTATGCTGTTAATTGATGACCAGAATCAAGCAGTTAATCTCTCCTCTGACCTAGTCTAGATGGCCCAATGGGGGAAGGCTTGTAAACTTCAATAGAGATTTGTGAAAATCGAAGAATGGCTTGTAAAATCCAGTGCTTCCAAAACCAAACTAATAAGGTTCCAACCTGACCGGGTAGACCGTGAACATTCCCCGAACATGATGGGTGAGTGTCCTCTCAAAGAAGCTCCTTGTTTTAAACATCTATTAGGATACACGCTTACCCCAGGCGTCAAGTAGAATTCATAGATATTATCAATTGCTAACTATACTACAAAGTGTTCGGTTTGTAGAGCTCCAGTTAGTATCTGGATCTTGAGCTGCTTATGACTCAATCGCGAGTCGTGATAGAATTCCAAACCGTCCACCTGGTCTTGTGGGTAATTAATTATTTTCCATCCTACAACAAATTTCCCACAGGAAAACGTCGAAAGATTCTCGCTACTCTATCGCTATTTCCATAGCATGTGTTCTGACGAGCTATATTATTTGGTTCCACCAACCTTTACCTTAACGTTCTACAAAGAAGAAGAAAAAACACGGTCTGGAGGTGCGCAATTTTCTCTTTCTAGCCCTGACACAGTTCAAGAGCCTTTACGCGGCCTTATGAGTGATGAATTATTTTCAACCCTACAACTCTTTTTCCACGGGCGAAACGTCGCAAGCCTCTCGATACCCTATCGCTGTTTACATGGCAAGTGTTCCGACGAGCTACAATCTGTCCTGCGAGTATCAAACTTTCTAAACTGTCTTTCCTTGTTATGTATCTGTTATGGGACCTTACCCATAATAACATAATGGACTATTCCATACGTAATAAATACTGCGTCTCAAGAGGAAGCAGGGAGTTCAGTCTGAAGTCGAACGACCGGCTGATCGGTTGAACTCTCTGCCTTCGGGCAGGGAGCAACCCGAACGAGGCTACGCCGAAAGGCGGAGTCTCTTTCGGGGAGGTAAACCGACCCTGAACCCGTTTATACGGGTTCAAAGGGCATATTTTTGGCCGAGCCCACGGGCTCGGAGATCCCACGTTAAACCGGCCTTGTGCCACATGATGCCCTCGTTGATGCGGGGGACTAAATACCGCTCAGTCTGAAGTCTAGAGGGAAGTCCGTCAGGAGTCTGTCAGTCAGTCAGAGCGAGTCAGTCAGTCGAGTCAGAGGCAGTCCGAAACAGAGTCGCGTTCAGACAATTACTACAAGACATTGGAATAGTGATACTGGTCGAGACTACATTGTTCTCCCTACTAAACCTGATTGTTCGTACTAACACTTTCTACTTCTCTGTATATATTCCTGTTTGTAATATATCTGTGTTATTCCATATCCGTGTTCGAGTTCTTCTTTATTGGTTCTACCTTGGACTATCACCGTGGTACAAGGAACCGGACCATAATATTACCCTAGAAATTTCAACTTCCTCTTTCTGTTTTCAATTTGTAAGTGTCCTTTTTGCTTACATTTGCTCTAAAACTTTCCTACGCGTTCTTTTCCTATGTCCCTGTTGCCTCTAATCGCGCCTGCGAGTATCAAATTTGCCAAGTTCTCTTTTCTTATTATGTGACCTAATATTAATTCTCTCTAATCTATTATCAGTTTCCTTATTGCAGTCTTTCCTTCTTTTTTGTGCCGTGCCACTTAAGGACGTTGGCGATCATGGCTCTCTCCAATTTCCTGTATTTTGTATCGCTTACTAAATTTTGTCCTTTTGTTATCTCTCCTAAAACTTGTTCCCCCATTCATTTACTCAAGCGCGATAGATAGGTGATGTGTTCTTCTCTTCTATCCTTCTTACCTTCAATCTGTCATGTGAGTATAAATGGCCTTGGAAAAGGCATGACTCCATCCCCTCTCCAGCCTGGTTTAAATAGAATATCTGGTCTAAGAGAAATCTGAGGTATAGGGAAGTATTTTGAAGTGTAGGAATGGTAACGGAAAACCATATTTCCCAAGAATACATGACAATTCAAAGACAATAAAAGAAGAAAAGAATTTTTTTGGATTTTTCATGATTGGCTTTGTCATTGTTTCAAAAAAAAAAAAAAAAAAAAAAACTAACATTATACAAATAAAAATATGTCACTCCTGTTTATCTGTTTAATGACCCCGAGTTCATGAGTCCCTGTTGCGGTAGGATCCACCTAATTTGCATAGTGGAGTACCGACCATATAAATATGGTTGGTACCGGGAAGAGAGGGAGGAATCAAGAGATTCAACCAGAGACTCTGCCCGACTGCGACTCAGTCAACACATTCTCCAGGAACGGTCTTACCAGGAATATACCAAAAGACTATATTTAAATATTGCGTACACTTTCTTGTTTCAATACATTTTGTTCTAAGTACATTTTGTGTTGCATTATTATTCTATGCATTAGTCAAGTTTCAACAGTCCCGTAACCCGGATGATCATAGGATCCATAATAGAAGTGGTGTGCCTTGGGCAAGATAGTCTGACCATGCCCAATACTCTCCATCTTTGAATTAAGAGTTTTCCTTCTCCAGGACTGTCTACCAATCAGTCTAGTGGGGGAGAAGTAATGGATTCATATATTTCCCAACAATATCAGCAAATAAATGAATGCAACGAACTCGACTGGAATTTGAACTCGGTTCTCTGATTCCTCAATCCGAACTGCAAACCATTTCTCCACTGTGCCTTCCAGACACGGAGTTACGACTAATTATAAACGTCAATGAAAAACAAAACAAAAAACCCCAAAACAAGCCGTCATTATGTGGCAATTCCATTTATGAGTAAAATCTGATCATGTTTGTATTCTCTTTCTTAAAAATGAATATTTACAGCACTTACAGTCCTCAAGCCAAAGTGATACACAAAATCGTGCTAATTTTTGAATATGTTGATTATATTTATTGTTCATTACACTACAGTACTGTATAAACATTTAGAAATACATTAGAAATGTTACAAGCGTTGCAAACGTGACATTAATACTATTTGGAGCATTTGAACAAAAAATTACATGTACTTAGTATGCCTGAAAAAAGCGATTAAAAAATACAATTTCTCATTTAGCGAAAAGTCGTTTTAAATGCAATCATTTATAAATTTTAAATAGTTTCCTGTATTTCGTTTTCTTAATATTCTGTCCATTTAATATCAAGAATATTAAGAAAACCAAAGACTGGCACTCTCATTTAACGATCGATTCCAGTCCAACGACTTGGTCGCTAAGTGAGAGATATGTAACTGGTCGCTTTTTCCGATAAATACGTATAATTTGGTTTTCAACCAGCTCTTATATAATATTAATGTCACTCATTTCCAATTTTAAACTTATTTAAACTAAAAGCAAAAAATCTTTAAGATGCATTTGCATTTGGAAGTCAAAAAAAAAAAGAAAAATTATCATTGGGCTAAAAAAAAAAAAAAAACGAAAAAGATCTTGAATTTAAATAAAATCCAAAAGAATTTGCAGAATATTATCGGTCCTGATCTGGCAGCTCGGCTTCAATCACTTTCCCACCGCTGTAAGGTTGCTTCTCTATAAATATTTTCATGGTAATTCTTCTGATGAGCTCTTCGCTATGGTGACATTTTTAATTTAAGCGCAGCATGAGACTAGCGTTAAGATCTCATCAATTTACAGGTGAACTGGCTAGATATAGCCGTATGTTCTATGCTAACAGTTTATTTTCTCGCACTTCTCGATTATGAAGCTCCTTTCCGGCTCCATGCTTTCCAGCTAACTTTAATCTGCAAAAATTTAAATGCAATGTCAATCGCTAGCTGCTGATTATTCTATTCTCTTCCTGCTCATTATTAATGTTTTAGTTCCTAATTCTTCCATACCCTTTAATCAGTTGTGTCTTAGGGGCTTTACTACCTTGCATGGAGTGATACCGATTTAAAAAGTAAACCATTTGGATTTCTTCTCTGATATCTGAAGTTCGGTTGCGCGGGGAAGACCGATAAAAATCCCAATTCAATAAATAACCATCCATCAGACTTTGCATCGATGGCGATTCAAATAAATGCTGTTAAAGACTTCTAAATCAGACTTCAAACAAGTCAATGGATACGATAATGCTTTGAATGCAGAGTTTGCTAATCGGCTTTGTGATATTTAATTAGTTTCAGACAGTAAGCACAAAGAAAACAACAGGGATCAGTGCATTTAGGAAAGGAAGATTTTAGTATATTCCTACTGTGGTGCCTAACAATTTAATGGCAAGAAGAATTTCGTCTGGACTCAATTGAAAGAAGCTTTCGGTGCCGGGATCTCGGAAATTTGATGTTGATACTGTGTGGGATTCATTGCCTGTCAGAAAAAGAATCATTTTTCTGAAGTGGCGCTCATAAGAAAAACCTCACTATAGGGATTAACAAATTTTGAGGTCACTGTGCAATTATCGTTTAAGTTGAGCGGTAGTTCAAGCGGCGGATGGAGAGATAATCGACGAAACGTATGTGCTTTCTTATTGATATGCCAGTTCCTGCAAACTGCTATGTATCTTTGAAGTTCTTCATAAAGCTATCAAAATACAAGGATCTTGACGTGGACATCTAAAAAATGTGGCACATGAGAGCATCAATAATTCCAGTTGTATTTGGAGCCTTCGGTTTGATTGGAAAATGTTCCAATGGACTAACTGAGGGGATTCTTGATGGCCTATGCCTGAAAGAAATACAAAGAATTGTAGTCACAAGTACAGGCTCACACCTTACGAAGGGCTTTATCTATGTAAAATGTGTGAGCTCTAAGATTACCCTTCCATTTTTTTAGAAAAATATTCAGTGAAAATGCCATGATGCCATTTCTGGTCGTAGATCTCTGATTGGGACCCGGAAGGGGATGAGTACATTGCATAAATCAAAGGAAACAACAACAACAAAAACAACAACAACAATAATAATAATAATAATTGAGAAAAAATCTGTAAGACACATAATGAGGATATTTTTTAATTTTAGATGAAAGAAAAGATTAATAATCAAGCGATTGGAAAAAGCAACGAAGAAGAAGAAGAAGAAGAAGAAGAAGAAGAAGAAGAAGGAGGAGGAGGAGGAGGAGGAGGAGGAGGTGGAAAATAATTGAAAACAAGAATTGTACCAGTCGTAGTAGGTGCGCTTGGAGTGATAAAAAAGGAACACAACAACACAATGAAAAAAATTCCTGGAAATCCCAGCTTAAGAGAAATAATTCAGTTTTATAATGTATCATTATGGAGTCTATTGTGTGGCTCGCCCCTTGTACACAAGATGGACTCGTCCAAAGTATACTTATACTACGGAGAGATAGCGTGAGAAAAACGCCGAGACAAGGTGTTCACCCAGAGTTATACGAGAGTCCAGAAAGAGAGATAATTACGGCTTCACTTACAGAAACTTGTACATATACTTTCTACTAAACCGCATTCCTGGACTACTAATCTTCATTTCAAGTTTGTATTCTTTAATATACATATTTTCAATTACTGGCACAGTGCTTTGTTTGTGGTTCTGCAGCGCCAGTCCACGAGTTGTTAAGAAGGATGGCCCTCTCTATTGATTGATTTTTATTTTACGGATTATCAACCCATTTATGAATTATTCGAAGCCGTCACATGTTTTGGATTGTAAGAATAATTATTCTTTTTTTTTTTCAAGTGAATGTTGCATTAAAAGGTTTTATTTTTGGAGATAACAAGATACAAATTCTGTTATTTAACTCACATCTGGGGAGAAAAGGTGGATTAATACATTTTGTAAGGGTATTTGTGCGTAAGTACATATAACAAATTCGACTGGAATTCGAACTCTCATTTCCGATTTCTCATTCCAAGACGTTATTCATTAACCCACATGCACATAGGGATTTGATCGCTCGAAACCATTTTAATCATTTATCTGAAGAAAAAAAATAACGATTGTATACAGTTTAGATATTTCTGAACGGGTTGTGCATGACATCTATAGAGGAAAGTCTCGATTTTCATGTTAAAATAACAAATCAGTAATTATTAATTAGGGGAACCAGGCTGCTAATAGATTGAATTTAATTTTATTTATTTGTCCGAGTTAACTTCTTTTGGGTGTTTTTACTTTTAACAATTTAATTCTTACGTGCGACAATATAACAATATAGTTGTAAAGGCGAAAAATCGTAGATTACTCATGCAGTGTATATAAACAATGTCTTTTTTTAGACAGTACAGGTAAAGTAATAAACAATATGAATGTTTAAACAATGATAAATCCTAAAAAATATAATACTAAAAATCTCAGATTCATAAGAACTTTAATAAAACTCAAAATACAAAAAGAACATCGCCAGGCGTTTAGAGAATAAGGAAGAGATTTATTTTTGTTAGATTTTATCTTCTGCAACAATGACTCTCTTCACTCAAGCGGTAAGGCAACTTATCGCATTAAGATGAAAAAAAAAATGTTCTTCATCTTATCGTAATTTTCTTTTCTTTTTTAATGTCGTTCACCTAATACAAAGCCCAGGAGCCACTCAAGTTAGAAACTTACTAAATGAAGCTGTTGAAAATAGATGACGGTTGACCCGAGACGTGATGAGCCTGAGATTGTAATAATTAGGAAAGCATCCTCTCGGGAGTCTCTACTACAAATTAATTTATTTTATGCAGATGAAAAAAAATAACCTTTTCTTCATCTTATCGTAATTTTCTTTCTTTTTTTAATGTCATTCACCTAATACAAAGCCGAAGAGCCACTCAAGGTAGAAAGTTACTAAGTGAAGCTGTTGAAAATAGATGACAAATGACCCGAGACGTGATGAGGCTGAGATTGTAATAATTAGGAAAGCATCCTCTCGGGAGTCTCTACTACAAATTAGCGGTTTTATGCAGATGAAAAAAAAATTTTTTCTTTCTTTTTTTAATGCATTCACCTGATAAAAAAAAAAACTTTTTCTTCATCTTAAGATCGCAATTTTTAAGACGTAATTTTTTTTAATGTCATCCTCACCTAATAACAAGGATGAAAAAAACCCAAAATTTTCAATGTCGTTCACCTAATACAAGGCCCAAGTTTTACTCAAAGAAATTACTAAATGAAGCTGTTGAAGATAGATGACGGTTGACCCGAGACGTGATGAGGCTGAGATTGTAATAATTAGGAAAGCATCCTCTCGGGAGTTTATTCTACAAATTTGGCGGTTTCTTTGGGAGATTTTTCTGAATGAAACTTTTATCAATGAAATACGAAGGGAATGAAGAGGGTTCATTCCTATGCATATGTTATGGCGGGTATTAGCTATTGGGTCGCTTATATGAGTTCCATTTGAAGTCGGGGGAGAATTTTAGTTACAGTAAACGTTGAAATTAAAGAGAACATTTTCTGTCACAACTTTTGGCCAAAGTTTGGCATGGTTCGGAATATACGAAGATAGTTCTTCAGTCCTATTTCAAGTTATTTCCGACCGTTAAAAATCGGAAGACATACCATAAAATTAAAATAAACTAAAAAAAAAACAAAAACGGATACTTAATCCCTGAATTAAAATGATTTAAGGCTATTACTTGGTAGAATAGACGAAATGTCTATGGCGTAAATTTACTGTAGATTTGTATCTAATCCTATTCTAAACCGCTATCTAATCGTTATCGCGGATGACGTGCCGGTAACAAGAAGACCGACAACGGGATACAAGCGCAACAAACGCTTTATTTGCGGGTTACTACAAGCGATTACTTTGCATGTTGAAACTGGAATATATGTATACTTCGCACCCACGTTGCAAACGAAATGTGACGCAAAGGTCCATGTGGATTTTGCGGCTGTACCGTAGAAACATTCTCAAGCCCTCTTGACAGTTATCCTTTTTGCGGACGCCTCAGGTGCCGGAGAATGACCCCAGGTCCCTCCCATCTGGAGCTCAGGGTAATATTATTGGCAGAAGTGCCGCCAAGTTATATTTTGCTCATTAAAACTGCGTTCATATCGCTACCGAATGTGACACAAAAGGGAGTTTAAAATGGGTTTAACGGTAATACCGCATAAAAATTCTCAAATTTCCTTGGTACTTCCACATTTTGGGGACCCCTCAAGCGCTGGGCAATAAAAAAAGACCTCTAAGGAGAGATACTGCCTGACAGGGATGACCCTACCTGGATTGTGAGCTAATATTATTGGCAAAAAAAAAGCGAACTCCTGCGACGTTTAGTTATACTTTGTTCGTTAAACCTGGTATTTACTTACCTCCCTAGTATATGACACAAGGCCGATTTTTATGGGCGATTCAGACACCGTAGGTTCTGGCAAAAATTCTCCATAGACCCAGCATACACTGGATCGGGTTTGTTCACCTCCGCAGACGAGACTCTGCCCTTCAGCAGTGCCTAGTCTGGGTTCCTCTCTGCCCGAAGGCAGAGAGTTCAACAAGTGTGTCTTAAGTCTGGCAGCGAATTGCCTGGCGTAGGTACAAATTTTTGTTCGTTAAAACTGTTATATTTAACAGCCTCCACCCCACGAGGGTTGTGTGTGACACAAGGCTGAGTTTACCGTGGTATCTCCGAGCCCGTAGGCTCGGCCAAAAATATTCCCTTAGAACCTGCATAAACGGGTTCAGGGCCTGTCTACCTCCCCGGACGAAACTTTGCCCTTCGGCAAAGAGTCGTCCGGGTTCCTCTCTGCACAAAGGCAGAGAGTTCGACAAATGTGTCTCGAGCCTGGCAGTTAAAACTGGCCGCGAGTTGTAGTTACTTTACTTTAAATAACTCTTGGACGAGTTCATTCGACTTGCTTGGGGATAACTAAGACTAATGTAGCCATAGTTTGCCCTCTTGATATGGCAGCCATAGTTTGCCCTCTTGATACGTAGATTGCACCCTCAGCAGAAAGGTCTGCACCCCTCACTCCAATAGGTTACTTTTTGGGTGGAGACTTGCAGAGTCAGATATAAACTCGACCAATGTCTACCTTTTTGGCCGACCCACTTTTGACTTAAGTGTAAAACGGACATTTTTTTTTTTTAAAAAACATTTCACCCCAAGCAAGGCGGGGAGCCACTAGCACGCAAGGGGTTATAGGGGATTTGGTACGAGAGCAGATAGGAATGATAGAGGAAAGGATGAGGAGAAGGATAGTGGATAGATCAAGGCAACTGGAGATGTCGATTGACATTACATTTGAAGAGTTGGAGAGTATAGCTACCACAGGCGAAAGGTGCGAGATATGAAGCTATTGGAGTAGAAGAGGCGGCTACATTTAACAGTTTCAACAGTGAAAGGGTGAGAGAGGGATGCCAGCCTCGTCTGGATTTTTAAAAATTCATTTGGATTTTTCTCCTGTAAAACTTATATTCGGCATTAAATAACCCACAACGGTTTGATGTTCAGTAAACAATTACAAATACAAACAATCTAATCATAGGTTTCCATTATCAATTTGCTTATGGTATCGTCTATAAAAGACGTGATCCCTGGATTGTACAATAACCTGCTATTTGACGCTAATAGAACATAATATATGACATAAATAGGTAGATATGATTCGAGCAGTTAGATGACATTTTCAGTTCAGAGTTCCTCATGAGACATACAAGGGTAACCGCATCACTTTATAAAAGATGATTTCTCTTAATAAGAAGTTTGTATAATTACACTTGGTGTGTCTATCTCTAGCTATAGAAAGGTGCGCATTATAGTCTGAGTGGACGATAAACGCGTTTCTCCGAGTCGGGAATCAGTGTGTACCCGCTGGCATGTGTCTACAAGAGGCTGGTTGTTCTTAGCAAGCACGGAGGGTCTTAAGTGGAACATCTGTTGTCTGTTCGCAGATAAAGGAAAAGGAAATAAAGCCCTTTGCCGGTATTGGTCGGAACAAAGACATCAGACGCTAAGAGATACATAGGAAGATGCATGTAAACTCATTATAGTTAAATATACTCGGGAAAGCGCAAAGGAGAGGCGCAGAAAGGAGAGGGTCGAAGGCAGAGTGGACGATTTTTATCGACGTCGGGGAGTAAGTGGTGGACAAGTTGGACAAACAACTTGAACGGTTTAGGGGGTGGACAAGTGAAAACTGAGTGGTTATAAGAAGAGCTGAATTGTGTGGTCGTGTTCAACAAGGTTATCACGAGGACACAGATAAAAAGGTAAAATTGTAACGAATAAGAACGAAAGAAGATAAAAGAAAGAACGAGAAAAGAAAGAAAGAAAGGAAGAAAGAAAGGAATGAAGACACAAAAAGAAAGAAAGAAAGAAAGGAAGGAAGAAAGGAAGTAAGGAATGAAGACACAAAAATGAAAGAAAGAAAGGAAGTAAGGAATGAAGACACAAAAAGAAAGAAAGAAAGAAAAAAGGAAGTAAGGAATGAAGACACAAAAAGAAAAAGAAAGAAAGAAAGGAAGAAAGGAATGAAGAAACAAAAAAAGAAAGAAAATCAAGAAAGTAAGGAATGAAGACAAAAAGAAAGAAAGAAAGAAAGAAAGACACAAAAAGAAAGAAATGAAAACAAAGACAAAAATGAAAGAAAGAAAGAAAGAAAGAAAGAAAGGAAGTAAAGAAATGAAGACACACAAAAAAGAAAGAAAGAAAGAAAGGAAAGGAAAGAAAGGACAAAAAGAAAATGAAAGACAAAAAAGAAAAGAAAAAAGAAAGGAAGAAAAAGAAGGAAGACAAAAAAAGAAAAAAAAAAAAGAAAGAAAGAAAGTAAGGAAAAAGGAAATGAAGAAACAAAAAAAAAGAAAGAAAGAAAGAAAGAAAGGAAAGGAAGGAATGAAAAAACAAAAAAAAGAAAGAAAGAAAAGGAAAGGAAATGAAGAAACAAAAGAAAGAAAGAAAGAAAGAAAGAAAGGAAGTAAGGAAGTAAGGAATGAAAACACAAAAACAAAGAAAGAAAGAAAGAAAGGAATGAAGGAATGAAAACACAAAAAGAAAGAAAGAAAGAAAGGAAGTAAGGAATGAAAACACAAAAAGAAAGAAAGAAAGAAAGAAAGAAATGAAGGAATGAAAACACAAAAAGAAAGAAAGAAAGAAAGAAAGAAAGGAATGAAAACACAAAAAGAAAGAATGGAAGTAAGGAAGTAAGGAATGAAGACACAAAAAGAAAGAAAGAAAGAAAGAATGAAGACACAAAAAGAAAGAAAGAAAGAAAGAAAGAAAGAAGGGAAGTAAGGGAGTAAAGACTGAAGACACAAAAAGAAAGAAAGAAAGTAAGGAAGTAAGGAATGAATACGCAAAAAGAAAGAAAGAAAGTAAGTAAGGAAGTAAGGAATGAATACGCAAAAAGAAAGAAAGAAAGAAAGTAAGGAATGGAGACACAAAAATGAAAGAAACAAACAAAAAGAAAGAACCAAACAAACAAAGATAGGCAGACAGAAAAGAAGGAAGTAGCTAAATGAAAGAAATTAGTCGTCAACAGAAAGTAAGAAAGAAGGAAAGAAAGAAAGAAAGAAAGAAAGGAAGAAAAGAAAGAGAGATAGAGAGAAAGAATGAAACTAAAAGAAAGAGAGTAAAAGAAAGATTAAGAAAAATAAATTGTATCAGGAAGGTAAAAAAGGTGTGAATTATAAAAAAGAAATGAAAAGAAAGAAAAAGAAGCAAAATAAAGAAAAAGAAGAAAAGGAAAGAAAAAAAGAAAGAAATATGAGTAAAAGGAAGAGTCATGAAGAAAGAAAAAGAGGAAAGGAAGAAAAATAAAGAAAAAACAGTTATTAGAAAGAAAGAAGATATGTAAAAGAAAGAAAGAATAAATGAATGAAAGAGAAAAGGTATAAGTAAATGGAAACAAAAAGAATAAAAAGAAATGTTATGAACAGAAAGAAAAAAAACGTCAGCATAAAGAAGAAGAAATAAAGAAAATAAATAGGTATATGGATAAAGAAAGAAAAGAAAGAAAAGAAAGAATTATGAGAAAGAAAAGGAAAAAACAATCTAAAAAATGAAAGAAAGAAAAAATAATTGTGATAAAAAAAGGAGAATTATTATGATCGAAGTCATACACACACACACACACACACACACACACACACATATATATATATATATTATTATTTATTTAAAAATATGATTCCAACACGCTACATAAGAGTTCCCATGTTTCAAAATAAGAGCCGAAAACTTCAATATAATTATTTGAATTAAATTAAATTAAATTAAATTATTTACCTTACGAGTTCTTTCCTATTTTCTATATATTTTTCACACACACACACACACACACACACACACACACACATATATATATATATATATACAGGGTGTCCATAAAGTCTGTTATGGACACCGTGTATATACATACATACATATACACATACATACATACATATATATATATATATATATATATATGTGTGTGTGTGTGTGTGTGTGATATCAAACGTATGTAATATATAAATATGTGTGATGCAAATGCGTCTGTGTGAGATATATCTGTGTGTGTGATATATGTGCGTGTGCATGAGTGTGATATATGCGTGCATGTGCGTGTGATATGTGTGTGCGATATATAAATGCGTGTGAGGTATATATATATATGTGTGTGTGATACATGTGTTTGTGCGTGATACATATGTGTGTGTGGCATATATATATGCGTCTGTGACATATAAATGTGATATATATATATATATGTGTGTGTGCGATATGTGTTTATGTGTGTGATATATGTGTGTGCATGAGTGTGATATGTGTGTGTATCTGCTTGTGATATGTGTGCGCGATATATAAATGCGTGTGTGAGATATATATATGTGTGTGTGTGTAATATATGTCTGTGTGACATATATATGTGTATATGATATATAAATGTGATGTATATATGTGTGTGTGTACAATATATATGTGCCTGTGATATGTATATGTGTATGTGTGTTATATGTACGTGTGTGTTTGATAGATGTGTGTGTGATGTATATGTGTCTGTGAGTGTGTGTTTTATGTTTATGCGTGCTATATATATGCGTGTGATATGTATATATATATATATGTGTGTTTGTGTGTATGTGTGATATATATGTGAGTGTGTGTGATATATGTATATATTTGTGTGTACGTGTGTGTACGTGTGTGTCTGTGTCTGTCTGCGCTGTATATTTATCTTTGTTGCTTTAATTCGCTATCCTATAAGCCGATTCCACGGACCAATTTAAGGTAGTGAGTTTGATACTTACCAGATCTACTCAGAAGATTGTGTAGCTTAAAAACAACACACATTTCATACTATAGTGACTATAGTGCAAGATTAAGCACATCTTAGTAAATGTCTGTGTTACCAAAAAATATGAAAATCTTTACAGCTGGCTGGTAGATGGTTGTTGACTTCATCGAATCACACTACTACTCTGCTTATGAAGTGATAAGATGGAGGTAGTTGTCTACACACAATCTCATGACAAAAAAACAAAAAAAAAAAAAAAAAACAGCCCCATGGGTCGTAGAGGGGTCAATATGCTTCTGTCATAAATAACTAAACATAAATTCAGTCTCACTTAAGTATCTTAGAAAAGCGAATTTATGACATAGACATAGCACAAAATGTATGTCACTGGCCTCGACTACCAACTTTATGTGTCGTCTGACTGGTATATATAGATTGTTATGAAAACCTATATATTATTTATCATAGATTTTATGTAATAATGCTACAGCGAATCCGCTTGTATCGAAGTTAGAATTATTTTGATGCAGTATCATAATTCTAATCAATAAGAATTAAATTTTATATCATTTGTACATTTTATTGCTGAAAGAGCCTATCAAGTTTTAGATAAGAATAAAATGCTTTGGATATATTTATGAATTTAAACACATTACTAGATTGGCGGCTTGGTCTCATCATTTTACAATTGAAATGGCTAGATGTAACCGTAAGTTCTATGCTAACAGTTTCTTCTACCGCACTTATCATTTATGGAACTCTCTCCAGTCAACAGTGATATTCAGAAATTTAAATGCAATATCAATCGTTATATTCTGTCTTCTTAATTCTTTTTCTTTTATAGTTCTTTCTCCCGAATAATATTTTTTTCTTACATTTTCTAACACTCGTTGGTCTCCTTGCATTTTAGCGGCTTTGTTGCCTTGATTGGGGAGAAAATCAGAGATTTCAAAATGGAAACATTAAAACAACTTTTAAAATGTTCTGAAGTCTTCTTCTGCGAACCATGTCCTTTTAAGAAGTTGATGATCATGGCTCTCCACAATTTACTGTTCTTTGTAGCTCTTAGTAAATTTTGTTAAATTCGCTTTCCTAACCCAGTTCTTTATTTACACAAGCCAGTTATATAGGTCATTAGCTGCTTTTCTCTTGACCCTCTTGTCTCTAATATGAAAAGTTCTCCGAGGCTTCTTTCCTTATTATACTTATATCTTATATATTATATCTTACACCTTAGAACTTTCTTTCTGGTATTACCTCTCCTTTTTTTCCCATTTTTTAAAAGTTTCGTCCTTGCTCACATATTTAGTCCATAGTATTCTCAGCATCCTTCTGTAGAACTTCTGTTTTTCCTTTATCTGTGAGGACCGACATTACATAACAATCCAGTATTCATTTCTTTGTTTCTAACGAAATGATTCTGTTTCTTAATACCTTGGTCATCTTATCTTGTTGATATTAAGATAGGGACGACTAAGCCAAGATTTTTAAACTAAAATAAAAAAAAAAAATGGAATGAATATGAAACTGATAAAAAAAATTTTAAGCAATCCTATAATTAGATTCTATGACTCGTTTACCATTACATGCTCAATATTAACTTTTCAAAACGGTCCTTCTTTTATGTACCGGGTCCCTTTAGGACGTTGGCGATCATGGCTCTCCACAATTTCCTGTCCTTTGTAAATCTTAATAAATTTTGTCTTTTTGTTATCTCCCCTAAACCTTGTTTCGCCATCCATTTACTCAAGCTCGCCAGGTAGGTTATGTGTTGTTTCCTCCCACTGTCCCTCTTGCATTTAACCTGTCTCGTGAGTATTGAATTTTCCAAGCCCTCTTTCCTCATTATGGGACCTAAAGATTTCAGCTGTCGCTTCCTGATATTAAGTATAAGTGTCCTTTTCGTTTTCATTTTCTCTAAAACTTCGTCGTTGCTCACATGTTCAGTCCATGGTATTCTCAGCATCCTTCTGTGGAACGACGTTTCTGTTGCTTCAAGTCTCTTCTTCATCTGCGAGGAGACTGTCCAGCATTAATGCTTCTCAATTATCTTTTTAAAAAAAGTATAATATACAAAAAATATTTGGGGGGGGCGGGGAATTCACCAACACACCTCTGCTTCCTACAAATTTGATGCCAATTTACCAGACTGCTATCTGTAGCAACACTCAGGAAGCATATGGGTTATTGCCTGGAAGAGACAACCTCTGCTGTCATACCATCAGCCTTCGCCTCTGAAGTCCTGGGTCAACAAAATAAAACAGGAGGTATATATGTCTGTTTATATTGAGAAAATGGAAGTCTACGTAGGAAAGCATTTCATATGGTTACGTTCTGATGCCAGTCAGGGATGTCGGTTCGTACTTATTTATCTTTCGAAAACCCCGTTCTGCCATCCATACTTTGGATGCTCAAACTCGCTAGATAGGTTACATGTGGTTTTCATCTTGTCTTCGCTCTGTGCTGTGAGTATCGAATTTTCTTTCCCAAGGTTTGTGCCCTAGCAATTTCAACTATTTCAACTTATTCAACTCTCTCTCTTTCTGATGTTAAGCATAAATGTGAACTCAATAAAGGACATGTTCCTAACCAGAGGTTCACGGACCCATAAAGCTGAATTGAATCAGTTTGGTATATTTGAGCGAGAGTGACTCATGTATATTACATTATTATTCAATAATTTTATACGATCAGCGCAAAATAACAGTTCAGTTACAATTTTAGAGTTCGTGTTTATTAAATAGATCTTCTTTTTTTTTAAAAAAAAAAGTAAAGTTTACGTCCTTCACTATAAAAATGCGGCACATCCTCTACTTTGAGGGTCGGTTGGCAGCCACAATTGTCTAGTAAGTCATATTCGGTTAGCATTTGTTATACACTGATATACTTGAACTAGTGTCCCAATATATTGCGTATATATGTCTTTGTTCAGTAGAACAGACAAATGACATTACAGGGGTGAATTAGCTATGAAGAATTAATTGATACGAAATAACCTCGGGTATTGTCTGTGGGATGAAAACTATCCCCTTGGATTGAATAAAAGGTTCGATTGGAAATGTCTGAAAGGCTACTAACTACGACTATAAGATAACCGGAAGATATAACAGAATCTTTCTTCTATGGGCTGTGTCCTTTTAGTCCGTTGGCGATCATGGCTTTACATAACTTCCTAATCTCTTGTAGTTCTGAGTAAGGATTTTCCTTTCGTTTCCCTCCTATTCTCTATTCTGCTAATTATTTACACAAGCTTCTTAGGTCATTCGCTTCTTTTTCCTGTTCCTCTTGCTTTCAATATAACCTGTGAGTGCCAAATTTTCCAAGCCCCCTTTCCTCACTATGTTTCATCAAAATTTCATTTGTCGTTTTCTAATTTAAGATATGTCACATTTTTGTTTCAATTTACCTTGAAAAAATATTCATTGCTTATATGGTCAGTTCATGGTAGTCCCAACTAGATTTCTATTGCCTAAAGTCTTTTTCATCAGCGAGGAAATTGAACAGCATGTCAATTTAGGATGTATATAAGTCAAAAAGAGGCTGTTTTTTGCTGATACAACCTTCATAAGCTTATAAGAGTTGTTACGTTATTAAAGTGAGAAAAACAAAAATTGATAAAATTATTGATCATAAACCGAACATCAAAAACTATAAACAATTAAAAAAGAAATAAGATTTTTTTTTTAGTTTTACAAAATGACGTGAACTTTCCAGATTAATACTAGAAATCCAATAAATCTAATTTTAAATAATGAAATTATGGATGAATTGGAAACATTTTGCATACACATTGTAAATTACTTTCTTGCCAATTTGGGATGTATGTAAATCAAAAAGATGCTAGTTTTTGTTGATACAACCTTAGATGTGTTAAAATATCGAAACTTTGGCCAAACACTTTTTTGTAAAATTCTGTCATATGATAATAAATCCCATTGCCATTCATGAAAAATCTGAGTCATATTCAGGATCAGCAAGCTTCATAAAGCTCAAAGATCAGCATTTGAATTCTCACCTTTACAGTGGCAAGTTTTAATTATTATACGCCGATTTACGTGGACTAGTATCCTTATATTGGTTATATGTCTTAGTTTAGTTGAACAGACAAGTGACATTACACGGGTTAATTAGCTATGAAAAAATTAACTGACACGAAATATCCTCGGGCATTATCTATGTAATGAAATCAATCTATTCCCGTGGATTAAATAAAAGGTTCGATTGGAAATGTCTGCAAGGCTACTAACTACGACCGACACATTAAGAAATTTGGCAAATGCAACAACTGAAACAATGGGATACTTTTTCTTCAGGACGTGGGCAATGATAGCTCTCCACAACTTCCTATCTTTTTTAGCTCTGAGTAAGTTTTGTCTTTTGGCTATTCCCTCAACCCAAGACTCCTTACGCTATTCACTGCCTCCCCTGTCCATTTTGCCTTCAATATGTCCCGTGAGTGTCAAACTTTCCAGGCCTACTTTTCTTAATATGTGCCCTAGAAATTTCAGTTATCTTTTTTGGATTGAATGTATAAGTGTCCTTATTTCTATTTTCCTTAAAAATTCCTCATTGTTCACATGTTCTATCCATGGTATTTTCAGCATCCTTATGTAGAACCAAATTTCTATTACCTCAAATCTCGGAGAGGGATTCACGGAATCACCTAAAATTATCATTCAAGAATTGTATATGATCAGTGCAAAATAACTGTTCAGTTTGAATTTTAGAGGAAACAGCATTGTTCGTGCTTATTAAGCATATATATATATATATATATATATATATATATATATATATATATATATATATATATATATTATTACGCGTATTTTTATAAAATAATCATCAATGATCATCGCATATCTTAACATCAAAATGCGGGTCATCCCAAATTTTATTTGTCGGTTGGCAACTGTATTTATCTAGTAAGTTTTAATCATTATATACCGATTTACTTATACAAGTATCCCAATATTAACAATATATATTTGTTCAGTAGAACTGAAAAGTGATATTACAAGGGCGAATTAGCTATGAAGAATTAACTGATACGAAATAGCCTCGAGCATTGACTGTAGAATGAAAATAATACGTCCTTGTCGACTGAATAATGGGTTTGGTTCGAAATTCCACATGTTTTAAAAAAAAAAAAAAATTATGGGTAATTCTTAAAAAAAGAATAATCGATTTTCAAAATGCAGGGACGCAGGATCGTAGGGGCAATAAATTCACTGCAGCCGTAGTATCATTGGTCGTGTGTAGAACAAGATAATCTGACGGTGCCTATCCCTCTTTAAGCTGGTTTCAGAAATTCCATGCTCTCCTACCGTTGGATTTTTCTGAAAAAATCAGAATGAAAAAATTAGAATGGAGAATCAGAATGAAAAAAATCAGAATGAAAAAATTGAGGAAAGACCTTAGGCCTTACTTCCGCTGTATCAATGCGTGAGCGGAAATCGGAAATGGTGATAGCATAAACAGGAAATACACCCGGTGGCTAAAATAAACAGAACGTAGCATAAACAGGGACACAGGTGTCATGAACCTTAAATAAACAGGGAGCACAGGTGTCCTGAGCGGAAGGCAATGGCAGGGCGCATGCCGGAAGTTGCTTAGGTGATATACCGGAAGAAGGCGTAGCCACGTGTAGCTGTGTACGTGTCCAAATGCTATTTAACCGGTCCGATTCTTGGTCTGGATAGAGAGGCTGCCTCGAGGTCCACCAAAGATTTGTCTCCGTCAATCCCTGAGTGCGCAATTCTAACCTCTGTGTTTCTCCCTCGCTCTAACCAATCGCTGCAGCTCGAACAATAAATATATTTATATAGTTTTTATATATAAGTGTTCGTCTCCTTGTTTGAGTCCAGCAGTAATATACAACAATAGAATGTTGTGGAGAGCCACGTCCAGATGAGACATTGTACATTAAAGAAGTTTTCATTGTTAATGCGAAGGTTGGTCGAAAATAGTGAAGTTACTTTCTTTTTCTTCCCTTTTCCTACCCATAATTCTGTTTCAAAATGGCTGTCCCTGTGTACGCCTGTCTAAAGTATAAATCTGTTATACAGTTTCTGGTTTTGAAAGGAGACAACCTTGCAAACATTCAATAAAGCCTCGTAATTGTCTATGAAAAAATGAATTTGATCTAAGTACAGTAAAAAGATGAGTCAACAGAGTTTATGGCAGTCCTAGAGAGAAAGGAAAAACTGCACTTAATGACAGGCTTCGCAGTGGCAGGTCAGTTGCTGCTGTGAGAGAAGATAAAGCTGAAGTAGCCGTTTCTTCCATTACAATCATTGTTGTAAAAGTCTGTGAATGCCTTCGATAAGCCATATAGTGTCTGCAGTTTAGTGCAGTCACTTGATTACTCAAATGGATGTGCAAAGTGGGTTCGCAGAATGCTGTATTCCAAGTGTATCTGGAGCTGCACAAAGTGTATTTGCACCTTCACAAGAAAGATAGTAACAGGAAAGAGGAGGATAAAGACAAAATTTATGCGTGGTTAAGAAAGCAACCAAAATCTGTCTCCATTGATTACTGTGTGCGTAATCCTAATCTCTTTGCTTCACCCTCACCCTACCCATTCACCGAAACTCGAACAATAAAGATATTTATATATTTTTATATATAAGTGTTCGTCACCTTATTTGAGCCCAACTCCAATATACCACACTACTTCTCTGACTGACATTCAACACGAGAGAGCCAAATACACTTAGTTATTTGATCGTTTCTATTATTTCGCCACAAATAAATTAAAGTTAATATGGCAAATATTAGTTCACTACAAAAAATTATGAGTTTTAAATCAAAGTTTGTTTATTTTTTATTAAACTTTTGGAATTCATTTGAAACTATAAATTTTAAATCAAAATTTATTTAGCTTGCCTCGCAACAACTCCAACCTTCAGATTGAAAAAAAAATCAGAATGAAAAAATCAGAATGAAGAATCAGAATGAAAATCGGAATGAAAAATTCAGAATAAAAAAATCAGAATGAAAAAATCAAATTGAAGAAATCAGATTGAAAAAATTAGAATGAAAAAAACAGAATGAAAAAATCAGATTGAAAAAATCAGAATGAAAAATTCAGAATGAAAAAATCAGATTGAAAAATTCACAATTAAAAAATCAGAATGAAAAATCAGAATGAAAAAATCTGATTGAAAAAATCAGAATGAAAAAAATCAGATTGAAAAATGAGAATGAAAAATCAGAAAGAAAAATTCTGACTGAAGAAACAGAATGAAAAAATCAAAATGAAAAAATCAGATTGAAAAAATCTGATTGAAAAAATCAGAATGAAAAAATCAGATTGAAAAAATAAAATCAGAATGAAAAAATCAGCATGAAACAATCAGATTGAAAAAATCAGAATGAAAAAACTTAATAAAGGATCAGAATGAAAAAATCAGAATGAAAAAATCAAAATGAAAAAATCAGATTGAAAAAATCAGAATGACAAAATCAGTATTAAAAAATCAAAATGAAAAAATCAGAATGAAAAAATCAGATTGAAAAAATAAAATCAGAATGAAAAAATCAGCATGAAACAATCAGATTGAAAAAATCAGAATGAAAAAAACTTAATAAAGGATCAGAATGAAAAAATCAAAATGAAAAAATCAAAATGAAAAAATCAGATTGAAAAAATCAAAATGAAAAAATCAGAATGAAAAAATCAGAATGAAAAAATCAGAATGAAAAAATTCAGATTGAAAAAATAAAATCAGAATGAAAAAATCAGCATGAAACAATCATATTGAAATAATCAAATTGAAAAAATCAGATTGAAAAAATCTGAATAAAGGATCAGAATGAAAAAATCAGAATGAAAAAATCAGATTGAAAAAATCAGAATGAAAAAA